AGCAAAGCAAAAACCTATATAGCCTTTAAGTACTTTGAAAACGTGTTTATAAGCCTTATAATTAATAGCGGAGCAGCTAATTTCTTTACCGCTAGCTTGCCTTAGCTAAGAGCACTTTAAAAGAGGTACTCCGAAGTCTAATTAGATACATCTCGAGCAAAAGAAAAGTCCGTCAAGTACGGGATCGGCTTTGCCACTTTTATTAAAGCAGTTACTTTAAATACCCTTTTAAATCAAGTGGAGTTTTACGTTGTAAAAAGCGACGTACCTTTTTTATTCTCGTTAGCTGATATAAACAAGCACAAAATGATCTTAAATAACTTGCGGAACGTACTAATCTAAAGGAAAAAAGAAATACTAATAGTAAAGATATTTAAGCACGTGTAAATGCTACTAAGTAAAGAGCACGCTGCTACTTATTATAGCACCGAAGGCGAGACCGTCTACTGCTACTTTACGGAAAAGCAATTAAAAACCATTTATAAGCGTTTTAGCCACCTTTTAACAAATCGATTTACTGCTATTCTCAAGAAAGCCGAGTACGAATTCAAACGGGATTTGCTTTATAACATCTAAAAGTTTTACTACTATTACTAAATATTCGAACGCTCTTCGAGAAGGTTTAATATCAAGCTTAAAAATAATACTGACTTTAATAATACGGTATACGTCGATATAATGCACTTTAACGGCAAAAACGTATTGCACGTCGTTTGCGATTCTATTAATTTTCAAGCCGTTACCTTTTTTAAAAGCATGTCCGCATAACACTTACTTAAAAGATTCAGTCGATGCTAAGTCAATACTTACGTCGAGCTTTTTATAAACGTAGTATACGATCTCGGAACTAACTTTAATTCGATAACGTTCCGAAGCTACTTTAAAAGTATTAGCAGCACCTTAAAGCAAATGCTTGTAAAAGCTTATCATAGCGTCGGGCTAATAAAACGCTACTACGTCTTTATGCGACGCGCATTTAAGATCGTCATAAAAGAGCTACCAAAGGCTTTAAAAGAAGACCGGCTTTAAATAGCTATTAAAGCTATTAACGACACAGCGAGACTTAATAGTTTAGTCTTTACTTTTCTCGTTTTTAACACTTTATCGAAGCTGACGGAGCAAGATCGACTTGCCGCGTCTACTTAAAAGCGTGCTGCAGCTATTAACAAAGCTATAAAAGAAATACGAAAATGCCACGCTGCAAAGCAAGTCAAGGACGCGCTTAAGAAGAAGAATGGCCCAATTACGGAGCATACTTTAAACCTCTTTATTAGTTCACGGATGCTCGTATAACGGAAAAACCAAAAGTAGAAAGGCCTTTTTTAATTGCTTAATAAGCAAAGCTATACGTGCATAATAGCATATCCGAGACCTACGGAATTCAAGTCAACCTTAATAAAACCTTATTATTTTAAAGTTGAAAAGCTACTAAAAGAGTTGCAAGTACTTAAAGTAAAAGTGAAAGAAGATCAAAGCGAAAGCGAAAAAGAGCTAGAACCGTTAAATTCGCTTAAACTTCAACATTCGCTTAATCTATTAAAAAGCTCGCTAAGATCAACAAACAACCTCTTCAACTTTTAACTTATCAATTCTTAAAGATCAATAATACTAATAGTTTAAATACCTTATTAGAAGTACAATCTTAGTATCTCGACCGTGCTCGATAAAAAAGAGAGCGATTCTTACGTTCTATTTATTAAAGACTCCGAAGTGTTGATTACCGATAAAGAACGCCGAGATTATAAGCTCTTAGCTAAGCTGCGCGCCGAAAGGATCATTAAAAGCTTTAAGGTATTATTTTAAGAGTCTAAAGCAAAAGAATTAATTAGATTGATAACTTAAAGCATCTTTCAAGTGATCTCGAGCATCGACCCGCGAGCTAAAAGCGCTAAGATCTTCGGATCTAAGTTTATTAACGAGATTAAAAGCAAAAGAACACTTACGCTATACGAAAAGTCTCGTATAATAATTTAAGCCTTTTAAGATAAAAGCAAAACGAAGATACTCACCGAGTCACTTATAATGCAACGGGCGAGCTAAAGACTCTATTGTGCTCTAGCTCTTTCGTTAATAAAAGATTACGAGTGTCAAGTCTATAATAAAGATATCACTTAAGCTTATACTTAATCAAGTACGAAGCTTATTCGAATAATCGTCGTACGACCACTTAAAGAAATCACTTATCGATTCCTTTCCGGCACTTTATTCTTTATAACTAGCCTTTTATACAAGATTTTTAAAGCAAAGACGCATTAGTATAAGCGTTTTTCCGAGCACTTTATAAACAACTTCGATATAAAGCAATCGAGCTTTAACTCTTGCTTCTTTATATCAATTAACAAAGATCAGCTAAGAATAGCTGCTTTACAAACGGACGATATTCTTATAGTTGTTAATCGAACTATAAAAGCAAAAAAAGAGAAAAAGTTAATCAAATCCAAGCTAAAAAGCAAAGAAATAAAGACCTTTACATATACCGAACCGATGATTTTTAATAAATGCAAGCTATCTTTAAATAAAAACGAGTTCGGACTGTTAATTAAGCAAAAAAGACAAAGTAAAAGGCTTGCAGTGATCAAGCTCGATTCAGCTACACGAGCTAAAGAGTACTTAAAGCAACGTGCTCGAAAAGCGTATTTAGCTACCATTTGCTACTTAAAAGCATCTTGCGCTTTATCGATAGCTGCTTAACATTAAGAACCGAAAGACAAAGACTACAAGGCCTTTAATAAAATGATCTAGTAGCTAATCGATCACTTAACTCGAAAGATCTACTACGTGCTCTTAGACTTAAAGATTGCGAAGCTCTTTGTGTTCGTAAATAAAGCATTTGCTAATAACGCTAACTTCAGCTCTTAGATCGGTTTCGTAGCTATCCTTAGCAATAAAGCTTACGTAAATAAGAACGAGTTCACTTTAACGAGTAACATCCTTTATTAAGTATCACAGAAGTGCAAGAAGATGACAAGAGCAGTATTAGCCTTTAAGCTATACGTTATATCCTTAAGTATCGATATAGCTATTACTATGTCGACCACTTTTGCTTAAATCATAGCCTAGCTAAGAATACTTAATTTCTTCGTAATCGTGTGCACTGACTCTTACTCGCTTTACGAGTGCATAGTAAAGCTAAAGACTATTAAAAAGAAGCGCTTAATAATCGATATTATAGCTATTCGAAAGTCGTACGAAAAGCGAAAGCTCTTTAAGGTACGCTAGATCGAAAGGAAATCTAACCCTGCTAACGCCATGACCAAAGTCGGAGCTAATACCTCTTTGCAAGAGCTAATTCTGACCAATACCTTAAAAGTGCAAGTAAACGGATAAGTAGAAAGGCCGCTGTAAGAAAAAGGAGAGTGAGTTTTGGTAGAATGAGATTGATTTTCTTTTGTTTAATAACCTTCTTTCTTTTTCGGTCGATATAGTAGTTAGCAAAGCACTGCTTGCCAAAAAGAGAGTTGCCGGTGTCGGTATATCTATATCGACCTTAATTAGCTAGTAGTAATAGTAGTAGTTGAGGAAGCTTACCCGTGAACCAT